CACCAAGGAGTCTTTCAGCTTGTGCCTGAACACCTCCAGTGACCGGGAACTCACTACCTGTCATGACAACCCAGTAGCTCTGACAATTAGAAAAGCTATTCTTTATACGGAGCCAAAATCTGTTTCCCTGTACATTGCCCCATATGGTGGAAACTACCTCCCTTGGGCCTTTTGCCATAAAAACGTCTGATCCCTTAGCATTTAACAGCCCTTCAAATACTTGTATTTACAAAACAAGTTATGTTCTTGCACATATCAGAGTGTGAGCAAATGCAATTTCTTTTGTGTATAATGAACTTCTGCTTTCTCTACCTAAGAGTAATCCATTAAAATCCAGTTCGGTATTATCTCCTGATAGACTAGTTTATGCTGCGGGAAAAAGCAATACCAAAATCTGTGCTTCAAATGCCAAAGGATTATTTCTCTCTCACACATCACACATCCACCGTGGGTCAGCAGGGACACCCTGTTGATCGTGGTTACTCAGTGACCCAGACTGAGACAGTAACCACTATGTTGAATGTTGCCAGTCACCATGGGAGGGAGAAAGTTCTGGAGGATCTCCCATCAGCAATTAATTCCCCCACCTGGAAGTGACACACCTCACTTCTTCTTACAGCTCATTGGCCAGTACTAGTGGTATGAACTCACCTAACCAACAGGGGGCAGGAAAATGTAGTCTTACCATGTGCCTGGAAAGCCAGGCCAGAAATACTTGGTAAATGGCACTGAGGATTACCCCACTCCCTTTGTGTGGTTTTCCCTGCTGTCCCTGGCAGAGTTGCTTGTAGCACCTCCATCCCCCTCAGTGCATTTCGTGTATTTGTTTGTCACAGTAATTATCACATTGCATTGTCATTATATTTACTTCTGTTTTGTGAAAATCAGTAAACAGAAACTTCATTGGGAGGGCAAAAGGGGGAGTGCTCATGCCCTATGTTGATAGCACAGCCCAACAGGAAGAAGAAAGACTTCCTCTTCTTGCCTGGCAGGAAGCTCAGCCAGTGAGAGACTGTCACAACTCAGCCAATGAAAAGCCACTATGCATCGAACTCTCAATTCCTCCAATGGGCTCTTTGTTGACAATAGCCCTCCCAGCTTCCTCTTCCCCTCTATAAAAGAGTCTCTCCTTTCTTTGTTGCTGGGAGTTTGCATGTGGCTCACCATGGTTGCAGACCCCAAAATTGCAATTCTTTGCTGATCCCCAAAAAACTCATTTTTGCTGGAGAAATAACTGGCTGGCTGTTTGTTTAAGGTCGACAGTTTCCATCTCCTCCGCAAGACTGAGAGTTTCTCAAGGACAGGGACTAGATTATAATAGTTTGGGATGTGCATGCATTTGAGAACAGTGACCATATATCCAACAGTAAAAGCCAAAGTCCTCACGGTGCTTTACAAGGCCGTATCTGATCTGGCCCCAGCTACTCTGACCTCCTCTCCCTATCTCTGCCTCCTCATTCACTTGGTCCCAGTCTCTCAAACTCACCAGGCCTGCTCCTCCCTCAGAGCCCACACAGCCAGACACAGGCTGCTCCCTGTGTCTGGAATGCACTTCCTCAGCCATCTGCTTGGCTCACTACTCCACTCCTCTCAGGTCTCTGCTCAGCTGTCTCTTTATCAGAGAAGTATTCCTGACAGTGTTCTGTAAGACATCAGTGTGACTTCCCCTCCCTGTTAACTCCCCACCCCTTATCTTCTTTTATTTTTCTCCACAGCAGTTACCACTTCCTGATGCAAACACATGCAAATGTATGTTACATTGTCATATATTAAATATCATATAATATGTATTATATGATACATTATATATGATATATGTAATTATTTTTTGTATTTATTTATTTATGGTCCTTCCTCCTCCCTCCTGCCCACATACACACACTTCTATGTAACTTCTATGAATAAAGGAATCAGCATATAGTAGGTACTCAATAAATATCTGTCAGATGAATGAATGATAAAGGAACAAATGTACCTCGAGTCTTCACTTCTCTGGACCTAGAGGGAGGTAAATTCCTCCCTCTAGTATGACAAGATTTCGCATCCCTTCCACATCCTAGCCACCTAGAAGTGATCAGTGATCAGTGCAGTACAGAGCGAAACAGCCCTTTGCTTATCCTTTGTTCTGTATTTCAACTAATAAACCCTAAGTTTAAATAAGATTTTGGAGGCTGCAAAAATCACACTGTTGACTGACTCACGGTAAATTTGGGTATTGACCAAAATCTTAAGTGTTTTTCACACATAAAACTGTAACTTTCTCTCCATATATAATTTCGTAGTGTTGCTTTGGGCCTATGTGTAGAATCTAACATTTTTCCCCCGTAATTTTCCTGTCGTTTGTCTTCCTTTTGATCCATAACACCATTTATTCTTTAAGTTATTTACTGAGTGTCTACTATGTGCAAAAAGCTATGTTAAGTGTTATGGGTCTAATGTAACAATTTTACAATTCCCAGAAGAAAAAAGTTTTTCAGCAATATCGACATGAATCAGACAAACCAACTTTAGGTTATTAAGAGGGATGCTAAGGCTCCTTAGCCTTGAATGTAAATGTAAATGTAAATGACTGAGCAGAGCCATTCCTGGGAAAGCTTTGAATGATGGAGGGCAGCGTGGTACTCCAAGGATGCAATGCCTAGAGCACCTGAATGTGGGAAGGCAAGTAGCACCTCAGATAGAGGGGCATGGAAAAAACTTACAACACCTTGGATAGAAGGGGTGTGGAAAGAGCTTACAATTATGAGGGCAATTTGGTTCAGACATGTCACTCGATCTATCCAAGGTTGACATACATCATCTGGATGTGACTGACAGATTGCCACCTCCCACATCACTCCAAGAATATCACCCTTCTTTAGACAAGGGTATGCTAAGATTTGGCTTTCCTGCTGTCCACTAATGGATGAGACTTCTCACATGTTCTAGTGATTTCAGGGCAGCCTTGGGATAGGGGAAGAACCAGAACAATTATTCTATTTGTCTACAAATCATATTTATTTATTTTAGTTAACGCCAGGTACTAGGTAATATTATACAGATAATAAGTCAATCATCACTACAATTCTATTAGGTAGGTACTGTTATTATCCGCACTTTCTAGGTGGGAAGATTGAGGCACAGAGAGGTTAATTGATCTACCCACAGCCAGAAAGTGAAGGAGCTGGATTTGAACCCAGGCAGCCTGGCTCCAGAGTCCATGATCTTAACAACTCTATTCTACTCTGCTTCCTTTTCGTATTGAGAAAAGGTACAAATTATGGTCCAATATATGATATAAAGGCTAAGTAATAAGTCAACCTTTTATACTAGTCACTAACACAGATTATTCCTAATAAAAATCAAACCTAAGACATCGTCCGGTTGAACTGAAATTGAAGAGGAGTGAATAACTTGAGAATAATGGAAAGAAATTAAATGAGTTGGAGAATAATTCAACCTTTGGCTCACCGAGCATTTACTCAGTAATTCATCTGTTTATTCATCCTTCCACGCATCTACCCACCCACTCATTCAACAACCACATGCCGAGCACTTTTGCTGTCCTAGGCACTCATCAAATGCTGCAGATAAATGTGGTCTGACCTGATTGACTTAGCAGTCCAGCTGGAGGGAAGCAGACAAAGGAAACCCATGGTCTAGTGCGGTAAATGCTGTCAGAGGGGGCTCATGCAGGAGTGGGGCATTAACATCGCCTGCACTGGGGAGAATCGATGAGGGGACAGGAGGAGAAAGGTGAGAGAAGAATGCTTCATGGAAGAAGAAAGACTGGATCTGGCCCTAGCAAAACTTTTTAACCTCAATATTCCTGGGAAGATCCTAGAATTAACATAATTTCCATCAGAGACAACAGAAAACGGAACATGCTTCTCAAGAAAGGCCCTGGAGCACAGCAGTTGAGAACACAGGTTTTGGAATCAGTCAGGCCTGCCTTCAAGTCTTATCCTCTCTAGGTAGAATTTCCTCCATTATAAGACGGGAATAATCATAATGCCCCATCGAGGGTTGTTCTGAGGGTCAAGTAAGATCCTGGGTGAGGTGCACAGGGCCGTCCGGACACAGCACGCATTCAGTACGTTAGCCTTCATTTGTTGCCTGCTTCTCAGATTCATGGTTACGCTCACTCCCCGCCTTATTCTTTAATCTTCTTAGTAGCTCCAACACCACATTTAGAACCAAAGTTTGTAAACCTCTTTTCTCTTTTACATAGGGAATAAAAAATAAATATAATTTCTGTAAAACTGATTGGATTACAGAAATTTATCGTTTTCCACGGTTCTTGGTGACTAGGTAACCAGCAGAGGAGCTAATTCATTATTTTAGCAATTTAAACAGGACCTCAGGAGAAAGGCACCCCGTGGTCACAAAGCACTGAGACTATACTAATGAGAAGATTAAAAGAAAGTTCAGCACATACACTCCCAGATAATCACAAATGTACCCAAGGATTATTAACAACCACAATTACCTGGAACTGTATTATCTGCCTGGTTAGTTATTCTAACACCAACTTGTATTGAATAGATGAGCTTAGAGGAGTTAATAAGTTATTTTGAAGTGGCTGGTGGGGCCCCTTCATAATAAATATCTGGCGAAATATGAGGGTACACCTAAGGCTCCATCCTTCATCCTAATTCTCACTGAGAAGTGAAAAGAAGCTCTGAGTTCTCCTCGGAGGAGTGGCCTTTCCATAGAGCCCCTGGCCCCAGTCCTCACGTCCTGTTTGCTTGGAACCACTTGACCATCATGAGGGCCAGATATGCATCTAGATAAGCCTTTTGGGAAATCAAAATGCTCTTCTGAAGCAGTGGTGTCCATTTTCAGGAATCAATTCCTCTAGGAGACAAAGCTCTGGGCTTTTATGACCATGGTAGTCATTGTCCTTTCCCAACCTCCCCCTTGAAAACCTTTCATGCCTTTTCTTTAGCTTTGTAGGATTGTGCACTGTGTGGTCCCCAGCTGCAGGTCTCAGAGGTCATCTTGTTCTTTGGTTTCTTTTGCAGATTCTCACAACTCCGTGCTGTGTGCTGCAGGCTGGTCTTGAACCCTGAGCTCTGGCTGAGAGAATGGGGGCGGACGGGGAAACAGTAGTCCTGAAGAACATGCTCATTGGTGTCAACCTGATCCTTCTGGGCTCCATGCTTAAGCCGTCAGAGTGTCAGCTGGAGGTCACCACGGAAAGGGTCCAGAGACAGGCAGTGGAGGAGGAAGGAGGCGTTGCCAACTACAACACATCAGGCAAAGAGCAGCCCGTGGTCTTCAACCACGTGTACAACATTAATGTGCCCCTGAACAGCCTCTGCTCCTCGGGGCTGGAGGCCTCGGCGGAGCAGGAGGTGAGTGCCGAGGACGAGGCGCTGGCAGAGTACACGGGCCACACCTCAGACCACGAGAGCCGGGTCACCTTCACCCACAAGATCAACCTCCCCAAGAAGGCCTGCCCGTGTGCTGGCTCGGCCCAGCTGCTGCAGGAGCTGCTGAGCCGGATTGAGATGCTGGAGAGGGAGGTGTCGCTGCTGCGGGAACAGTGCGAAGGCAACTGTTGCCAAGGAAGTGCTGCCACAGGTAGAGTCTGGAGCTTGCGGTGTGGTCTCTGCAGGGCAGGGAAGGGCTGATCAGAGAGGCAGAGGGAAAGAGAAAGACAGAAAGGGAGCAACCACTCGCTACGAAATCTGGCACCTCTTCACACGGAGGGAAAAAAAGTGCCTTCATCTGTAGCTCTCTGTTACTGTCTCCAAGATCTAAATGCAGTCCTTCCCGGGGGATTCGGGGCAGGGACTCTACACTGCTCAGACAGTTTGAAATACATTAACCTGATTCTGGGGGGATGAGTCAGGTAATGGTACATCGGTTCAGCACAGCAACTTCTGTGGTGAGCAGGGAATTTGATGTCTGTTTTCATTCATCTTTGGTTTTCACATGAAATGATATCTCTCCGTATTAACCTGAGGGACTAGAGAATGCAGGCACTCCATTCACTCGATCACAGCCTCTCTCCCATGGAGTGAGTGATAGTCATTAAGGTCTCGAAGGACGTGTCCCCATCTTCTCTAGCAAGATGGAAGTTTTAGCCCCTGCCCCCTCCACCAACACGCACATAGGTGTGCATGCATACACGCACATACCTGTTCACACACACACACTCACTCACACAGGGATTATTCCATCTCCCAAAAGGCTGACTATCCAAGAGATGTACCTCTAGCCTCACCTACCCTCTGACTAGTGACACTTTGGAATTCGTGTTTTTACCTCTCTGAGAGAAGTCTTCAGATCCAGACTTCCTGAGTTCAAATCCTGGCTCTGCTACTTATTACTCTGTGACTTAAGCAAATTACATAACCCGTGCCTTCCTTTCCCCATCAACAAATGGTGATAGACTAGAAGGAAAAGGAGTTAATAAATATAAAAGCATCTACTTGGATGAAAGCCTGGCTTCTAGTAAGCACCATATGAGCAATAGCTATCACCAGCTAACCCCCAGTGAGCAGAAATTGTGTCTGTCCCCTTACGGACCCAACTTCTCTCACCCAAAAGGTACCTTAGACCCACACCGTTCATTCTTTAATAAGAAGAGGAATTTGTCTTACTATCTTGGGTTTAAGCTTTCACCTCTGTAGGGTCCAATACCTCAGGGCTTTCACAGAGAGAAAGCAGGAAGTGGCAGGAATGACATTTTAACAGGGCCTGGATGGCCCACATGTCCAGAGTGATGTCAGACACATTCATCCTGAGACACAGCAAGATTAGGGGCAGTCTTTGAGTCGTGAAATATTTCATGGGTTTTCTCACCTCTTTCTCCTCCTCATAACCAAAACTATAAATAAATAATCTGAAGAAGAGAAGAGAAAGTCCGGTTGTTCAGTCCCCTGTTCCTGAGTGAGAACTGTCAGGTCAGTTCACCTTTACAACGGAACAGGGGACCGCGGGGAAGTCACAGGCCTCCTTGGACGTGGACTCTGCTGCCCAGAGAGCTGGGTGGCTCCTGTGAGTGGGCTTTATACCAGCCTCCCGCCAGGCTCCCCGGCAGACATGGAAAAATCCACAAGCCCAGAGCTATGTTAAGCCACATCAGTGTAGTATCCTTTCCGGCCATGCGGGTTGCGTGAAGTGGCAGAATTTAACAAGGATATGACTTACTTGACTTCATATCCCCAAGGCCAAGTGCAGAGAGGGATGCCAAGCAGGTACTGGGTTTGTGTTTGTTTAATAAGTTTGTTTGATTCATGCTAGACAGATAAATTAACCACTGTAGTAATAGCATGGTAACGGCAAGGACAGAGATATGCATAGAATCCTAAAAAGATCACAGCAAACAGTAACTAAACGAGACTGAGGTTCTGGGAAGCCTCTGAAGTGACCCTGGTGCTGGATTGTGATGAATGGGCAGAGTGAGTTAGATGGCAGGAAGGACAGGGAGTAGGGTGAGTCTGTAGCACATATGGCCTTGCCCTGCATAGCAGGCTTGATGCTCAGCCTACATCCCCTCGGGTCCCCTTCAGTCCCCACAGCGCCTGGGCATCTTTGTCAGGGGCTGTCCTCGGGCAGTGGGGACCTTCTTGGCCTGCCCAAAGAGAGAATGGAAGAGCCTGAGCATTTACACCCCCCAGGGACAGCCCTTAACCCATGGTGAGGTGTGACTCACACTATGACCAGAGCACTCTGCAGTACTGAACCCAAGTTACCCTCCCTGGGACTTTGCCTGGTAACGCACCCTGACTTGGGATCCTTCCCTCCCCAATCCACAACCAGTTTTTCCTGGGAGCACTTTCCAATAAGTCCCTTTCACCTGAATCCTCATCTAAGGTCCACTGGTAGGGAACTCAAGCTAAGACACTCAGGTGAGCTCCTGAAGGACAAGTGACCAGCTGTCACTCATCTTTGCCCCAGCCCTGTGCTAGGCACAGACAACTTATATTAGGTGAAAATAGTTATGAAATTGATTACGTACCAAACTAGGTTGAGCTTAACTCTCATCAACACAAACCTGACCAGAGAATGAGGAGAGGTCTCTGCCCACCCCTCCCCATGCACCGTTTACAGGAGGTGCCTCTGCTGCCCTCTGACCTTCTCCTTGACTGTTCCAGGACAACTGGACTATATCCCTCACTGCAGTGGCCATGGCAACTTTAGCCTCGAGTCCTGTGGCTGCATCTGCCATGAAGGCTGGTTTGGCAAGAACTGCTCAGAGCCCTACTGCCCGCTGGGCTGCTCCAGTCGGGGTGTGTGTGTGGACGGCCAGTGCATCTGTGACAGCGAATACAGCGGGGATGACTGCTCCGAACTCCGGTGCCCAACAGACTGCAGCTCCCGGGGGCTCTGTGTGGATGGGGAGTGTGTCTGTGAAGAGGCCTACACGGGCAAGGACTGCAGCGAGCTGAGGTGCCCTGGGGACTGTTCAGGGAAGGGGAGATGTGTCAATGGTACCTGCTTATGCCAGGAGGGCTACGTCGGTGAGGACTGCGGCCAGCAGCGGTGTCTGAACGCCTGCAGTGGGCGAGGATACTGCCAGGAGGGACTGTGCATCTGTGAAGAGGGCTACCAGGGCCCTGACTGCTCAGCAGGTAGGAAGGGGAGCTCTGTGGGGCGTTTGGCAAGGGTGGTCCAGCAAACTAACTAGAGGTGGGAAGAGAGATGGGAGGAAGGTGAATTTTAGGCAAAATAACTCCCAATTGGGTTGTTCTCATTTGCTTTCCAAGAGAGCAGATTTCTTGAGTCAATCACAATTGTTGAGGCAGATTTAAGAAGGAAAAACGCAGAAATCAGAAAAAGTCAAGTTCTCGTTGCAAGTTGGATCTTACTCCTGAGACTGGAACAAAAGCAGTGGTAATAATGGTGACAGGATTCCACCGTCCCACAGGTAGGGGAGAGAGGAGAGTCAGGCCCCAGGACCACCCTAGGCAGGGCCACTCTCTAACTCAGAGGGCTTCCAAGAGCTCCACCTGCTCCAAAATATCCCCTTGCTTGTTGCCATATTCCAGGGCCACATCCTTTTACAATGCATGAGATAACCAGACTAACCAGGCACTCTGGTTATTTTGGAGCTTACTGATTGCAAGGTGTTATTAATTTATGAAATGATCTAGTGTCCACATGGAAAAAGTATTTATAGCCAAGGAATTAAATGTAAACAGAAATAAAGTACTAAAGGCATCAAGCAACAACTCAGAGTCTAACAATCAGTACAGAACATTCAAAGGCTGTGGCTCACTTTGCTCCAGATGACATATAGCAAATCGGGACCAACCTCGTGTATAGTCTACACCACGGAAACTGATACAAAGGTGATGTCCTGAAAGGAAGATCTAAATCCAGCAGTGGGAAAAATACCAATATCTCATTGGAGATCTTTTTTTTTTTGCCTGAAATCAGATTATTTTCATCATCTCACTATTATTGTTCATCCTCTTCTAACTAAATCAGTGACTCTTGCTGATACATTTGTTTGTGTTTTAAATGGAACGGATTAAGAGATTGATCCTTTCCATTTACAGTTCAATGCATAACAGTGGGCTCAGAGTGCCCGTTGGGAAGATTTAAAACTAAAAATAGCAACAAATAAACATCTTTAAACCATCTGATGGCTTGATTCTAGGAATTTTCTGATCAGCCTTCTGACGTGAGTTTAGGGGCGAAATCCTGGGAAGCCAGCTTCTTCAGCCTTTTGTTCTTCAGCATCAGCAACGATGCCCACTGGATAGCAGACCGGCTAGACCAGGTTCCTGCACCTGTGACTTCAACTTAAATTCTTTCAAGAGATCAATGGCAATCACGAAAAGAAAAATAATATATTTTCATATTCCTTCATTTTTTTCCATATTCAATTATTTCATTTAGCCTCCTATTTTTTTTTTACCAAATTGAAATATCTTTCTAAAAATATAAATAGTTGTTATACCCAGCAGAAGTTAAGCCTTGTTGTTTCTGAATCCAAAGTCGCTAGGCAGTTGCTGGGGAGGCTGGAGCATGGTCCTAGTTCCCACCGACAGGATGAGGCTCCATGAAGCCCTGTCAGAGGACCTAGGGGTCAGGTGGAGCCATTGCTGTGTATGACTATTCCACAGTCCACACACTTCTTGGTAGAACTGATCTATGTTGGGCAGGGCATACCTGCCCCCTTCTTGACCTTGCTTTTCTACAGGGATGGCTTCACTTACAAACAGAATCTTGATCTGATCCAGAGTCCAAATTGGACTGGAGATAAAACCTTCCTGGTCACTCAGGGAAGACTCAGCAGCTGCTGGCGTAACTACAACCGGGTTGAGTCCAAACCATGAACACATGTTACCTCCAACATGTTACCTCTGTGCTGTTTGAGGAAGACTTCTGGAGCCCAGATCAACTACTTTACAGGTTCCCAAAGCATGTGAGGAAGGACAGTTGCATAATCTCCATCTGTTTCTATAGCAACCCTGGAGCCACCACTGACTGCAGGAGGTGCTACCCTGAACGCCAGCCTTTTAAACCAAGTGCCATGGCCTCTTCCAGAGAAGTATCTAGGTCATTATCTAAAGTGCTACTTTGCTTGCTCTTTGTGAGAAAGCCATAGGAAAGGGGACTATTTATCCACTGTTTCACATTTCTGGCCAGGTGCACACACTACAGCACTACTCCTCCCCTCGCCAACAGGAGTTGGGAGAGGAGAGGGAAGAGTTAGGAAGGTGAAAACATGGAGAGCCACAAAATATACTTCCCCATAGGTCATTCTTTTCTCTTTGGCAAGGGCGTGGAAAAGAGCTGCCCGTTGTGTGGATTTCATTCTGAGGTCTCCTAGGCCCCTAGAGCTTGAATGCAATTGAATAATGTCACAAGGCCATTATATTTGACTCCTAGCCTTGATCTTTGTTCAGAGTATGCCATGGGACAAAATCTCAACCTTTCTGCCTCTGTTCCCTGGCCACATGAAGACAATAGAACAAAAAATTCATGAATATGAGCATTTAAAACAGGCCTTAGAAAGAAGCCGCTCTGGGCTTCTCATTTTACAAATTTAAAAAGCAGCAGTCCAGAGAGACAGAGAGATTTTTCCAGAGCCAGACCGCTAATTAGTGGCAGAAAGAGAATAAGAACCCTGGTCTCCTACCAACTTCTAGCACTCTTTAATCCTCCCTGGGATGTTAAGTAGAGCGGAATTGAAAAATAAAAATTTTAAAAGCCACATACACAAAGAAATAGTCTTTTGATATGAAAGCTGAGCCTTGTCAAATGATAAAAAATATTAGGTGTTGGAGGTGGAGTAGAGAAGCACGTTAAGCCGTTTGTCCATATCTGCCCCAGTGAAGGCGGTTGGTGCGGGAGCTGGCCGAAACTCCCGATGAGTCAGCAGGATAAAAGAACCACCAGAGCAGGGGCTTGAAACAATCCAGAAAGCTGTTCCCTGGACTTCAGTCAGACCTGCAAGATTCATCAACATCAGCCTCTGCCTCTGCCAGCACTGCTGCCAGCCCAACCTTTGGCACCTGAAATCACTCGCTCCTTGGAGCAAGACACTTCATGGAATTCATTCCAGCTGCTCTCACCACACATGTGCAAAACTGATGCAAGATCTCAAAAGTCAACAGCATGGCATCTTTGCAGATAAGCTACTCCAATTCCTCAAACCACTTTTTAACTGCCTGCTTTTCCCCAAGGTTCAGTTGGGACCCCAAAGGAAGTAAGATTAAGAATACTTTGCATGCATCCTAAATTCATTGAATCAAGGGATATGGCTCTTTTATAGTTTGCTTTATATAGTTCAATATCATTTCATTTTGTAAGAATTACTAACACCCAATGTACACAGGTGCTGCTAAGTTGCAGGGAAAATGGTGATGGTCTCTTCCATTGAGCCACCACCATTTCCAAGAGTACTTTCGCCACAAACAACACCATTGCTGCTTTCTCATCAGAAATGAAGACAATATTTACCACCAGGCTAAGGTCTCAAGCTAAGTCACCAAGATAAAAAATTCTTCTGCACCTCTTTTTTTACTTTAAAATGCCAAAATGCTCTTCTTGGATCTTCCTCCATTGTCATTACTTCCTTTACTTTCTGGAAGCAGGAACTGAAAAGGAATATACTGGCTAGTCCCAGGTGCCCTAAGAGTTGTTGGTGACTTCAAATTTGGAATGGCCATTTCTGTCACTATGACAGAAGTTCCACATAGGAAACTTGGAATCAGTGTATTGAATCAGAAGAGGCAGGCACTAGAAAACTTTTTTCAAAAGAAGTTTCTTACCTCTAGGATAAGCACCAGTCTAGAATTCACATCCTACAAGATAGCCTAAATTAGTCTCTAATGTTATTTAATTTCGAGGGCTGTGTATAAATGAAAGAAGGCCTCTGGCGCAACATGTAACCTGTCCTATAAATTGTAGGGGACAGAACACTAAGTGTAGAAGATCTGGGTTTGAGAATCAGTTCTGCTGTGGCCCAACTCTCTGACTTTCAGCAAGTCCCTCAACCTGGGACTCAGTTTCCCTATTCATAAAGCTGGGATATTTATGTCTACCACACCTACCTCACAGAGCTGTTATTAAAGGATTTTTTAAAATTCTGGTTAGATGGTGTGTCTGAATATGTTTTATAGACTGTGAAATTCTATGCAAATGTAAAGTGGTCTTGTTTACTGCCTAGGAGGTTCTAGAGTCATTCTGCCTGGGTTCAAATCCTAGCTTCTGTGGGTGCTGACTGGGTGAACCAGTTTTGTCATCTGTAAAATAGGGGTAATAATCATGCCTATCCATGGTGTTGGTGAGAGGATGAAATGAGATCATCCATGTAGTAATGTTTAATGTTGTGCCTGGTGCATGATAAATACTCGATATAACCATGCAAAATACTGACAAGTTCTATGTGTGAACACTTCTTCCCTTGGCTTGGGAGTCATTCTGCATGCATTACACAGGCTGTCCCAAAGATCTTAGTGCAGTTCAAAGCTTTAATAATGCCAGAATTAGAAATGATATAAGCTTATAAATTATCATTTGAAAGTTTAATTATTTAAATTTCATTTACATTAATTTAGTTTGATAAATCTAAAAAAGTAAATTTTTAATTTTTTGTTTTGGTCAACGTTTGCCATCTTCAATCAGAGGAAGTTCTGCTATCCAGACTGTTTTATACAGTAAATAATTTTGTGCAAAAGCAATCAAAACAAATGCCCAGCATTGCAAATATGTGTTCCTAATTTCCATCCAGTGAGTTTGGGGTCAGTTAAAGGGCTCCTCATTTCTGCCTCTGCCAAGGATTTGAGGGTGCGCGTGTGAGCACGGCAGACAGGGCAGGCACTCTGCCCTCACACGGTCCTGTGAACAGCAGCTGGCTCAGTCCTACGCTCTTGTAAGGGCGAACTGGTGAGAACACTCAGAGGAGAAATTCAAAACCAATGATGACTCTTAAACTAACCGAAGCTTCCACTACATGTAAATTTATAAGTTAATTATGACTATTTAAATATTGGCCTGATCTTTGATTTAATCCGTGGGCAGGTCCAATTACAGGAACACTGCAGTTAGCCTCCTAATTGGTCTTAAAGGTTCAATAATTTAATACTCCACTACTGGTAAGTCTTCACTTCCCAAGGGAACCATAACATGAAAGGCTATTTCAATGAGGTTTAATCTTTGGTGATTGTGAGTAACATTTGGGAAGCAGGACAAGAGAGAAAAGCAAAGCCCTCAAGAATGCTTCTTTATCATCAACCTCAAGGTCAAGGCTAATAAAAACTGGTTTAACAGAAGTTACGTTTCTTTCAAAATTTAAGTTTCCTTTTAAAAGGGAAAATGATACAATAAAAGTTATTGAATGTCTTCATCAGTCCATGGTATCCAGGACTTAGTGTTTTGGCTTCCTATGTTTTGCAAGATAACCAGGCATAAGCCTTTATTCCCACTTGCTATATCGAATATTGGTTCCCAGGGTAATCTAGTGACAATAATTTATTAAACTACCTAAAATTTTGGCCTGTGGTATGCTCTTAAATATCTAACGACTGGCTTTCTGAGGAAAAAAATAAAAAGCCCTAATTTGTAGCATTTGCCAATTTCCGTGGTGTAAATACTCCCTCTGAGGCCAATTTCAACTACTGATACAATATCACTAAACACGGAGTTGGGAATAGCTGTGCAGCAGAGCACGATCATGTAGTGTTTCCACCAGAGAGATACAACACATGTAAATTACCTTAAGGGCATAGATAATAGTAAAATGTAGTGAAATAATTTGAAAGTGCTGAATATTGAGTATTTATTACCTTTGCCTTTAATCTAATTTACTTAATTGTAAGTTTATAAAAATTTAATCTGTGATAATGGTTGTATTTAACAACTGTCTGGAAAAATTCCTGAAAATTCAACCATCAACTTTCATGAGCCTGTAGGAGCCAACTCCAGCACACCACTAATTCATGGCCCTTTGAAGATGGAAATACTAAGTGCAGAAAAGACAAGAACCTGCCTGCAAGGGGAGTTACAAATCACTTAAAGCCATTGAGCCAAGCGGAACATACAGACAGGGCATGTGGGGTGAGATGTGAGGAAGAAAGTTGAGTCCAGGATGGGGAAGGCAGTCCTCTGAGCTCATGCTATCTGTGTATTGCCTCCTGGTAGTTGCCCCTCCAGAGGACTTGCGAGTGGCTGGTATCAGCGACAGGTCCATTGAGCTGGAATGGGACGGGCCGATGGCAGTGACGGAATATGTGATCTCTTACCAGCCGACGGCCCTGGGGGGCCTCCAGCTCCAGCAGCGGGTGCCTGGAGATTGGAGTGGTGTCACCATCACGGAGCTGGAGCCAGGTCTCACCTACAACATCAGCGTCTACGCTGTCATTAGCAACATCCTCAGCCTTCCCATCACTGCCAAGGTGGCCACCCGTACGTACCATTTCCCCAACCTGCTTCATTTTCCTTTTCTCCTCCATGAGATCATGGGCATTCATGATAGTAGCGTCTTTTCTTAATTCTTCGGGGATGCCTGCAATAATCATTGCTCTTGAGGGGAAGGGCTTCCGATGTGACTCACTTAGGAAAAAGGCACTTCTGATTAAGAAGGTTTCCAAATTCAGGCAGCTCCTATCAATAATGGAACCAGAAGGACAAAAAGTACTTTAATTATTGAGTTCTGACTTGTTATAAGCTAGAGACTGATTGGAAGTCAAGGAAAGTGTGAGACTTATACAGACATTGAATCTAGTTAGAGATTCAAAACCAGGAGATATGAAATAGGACATATAATAAGCAAATGCTAACTGGTGTGCTACAGATGGTAAGTGTATAGCAGAGTGGGAAAAAAAATCTAATTTAAACCACAACTGACAACACCCACTTCTCCTCATAGAGAGGTGGCATAATTTCTTCGTGGTCTTTTGTTTAGCAAAGTATCTTGATAGTTCATTTTGATTATAAAAGTTGAGGCTCTAGAGCATAGGTTAGAAAGATTCAATGGGGAGAAAGAGAGAGACTGACAGAGACAGAGACAAAGAACAAGTTAAACTGCTCTCCCTAAGAAATGCAAGTTCTTTTTTGCTTGTAACAGGGAAAAACTCCTATAGGTATGTATCTATATTTTGTATGTTTATTTAAGCATAGAAAAATTTTAAAAGATTGCATACCAACTATTAACATTGACTACATCAAGGAGTAGAATAAAAAAGTTACAGGAAGCCAGTGTTATTTTTTTTTTTATACACCTCTGAATCCTTAAATCTTTTCCAACACCACTTCTCCAACTCTCAGATGCCAGCTGGGTGACCTATGATTCAGTTCAGTTCTGACACTATCTACCTGGAGTTGGCATCAGATCCCACAGCTTTAGGCCTTAGTCTCACAGGACTGCCCCCACTTCAGGTGCCCATCACAAGTCCCAGGTTGTCACTGGTACTTCTGACCAACCAGCTATAAATTCAAGGGGTTCCCACAACTTCTCCTTACATTTGGTAATTCATTAGAACAACTCACAGAACTCAGGAAAGTACTTTATGTACTATTATCAGCTTGTTATAAAGGATACAGCTCAGGAAGAGCCACATGGAGGAGATGCACAGGGCAAAGTGTGGGGGAAGGGCATGGAGCTTCCATGCCCTCTCTGGGTGCACCACCCTCCCAACACTTCCGTGTGTCCACCAATCTGGAAGCTCTCCAAATCCATTGTTCAGGGTTTTTATGGAGGTTTCGTTATGTAGGCATGATTGATTAAATTACTGGCCATTGGTGATTAACCTGATCTCCAGCCCCTCATCCCTCCCTGGAGGTTTGGAGGTGGGGCTGAAAGTTCCAATCCTCTAATCATGCCTTGGTCTTTCTGGATACCTGCTATCTGAAGGCCCAGCCACCAGTTATCTCATAATCATACGAAAGATCTCTTATCACTCTGGAGATTACCAGGGTTTTAGGAGCTGTGTGCCAGGAACCAGGGCAAAGACCAAATATTTATTGTTTGTTATATCATACAGAGTATTCAACAGTAACAGGAAACCAGAATAAGAAGTGACCATGACACATAAGCCCCTGGGTCAGTAAATAGGACTTATCACCAAATATAGGATAAGAGTTTTGAGCCCATTTTATATAGGTCTCAAATGACAAGATGGTATTTGGGTAACAAATACCATGAAAGTTCAGAGAAAGGTGAGGTCAAAGCAGGAAGAGTCGGCCTTGAAGCCTTCATGGAGGTCCAAGGAATTGAATTGTGCTTTGAAGGATGCAAGGATAGGGACAGGCAGAGGGGAAAGGATTTAAGAAGTTGTCTTGTCCCCTTGCTTTTCAGGTGACAAAGATCCTGTTATAATATTGGACTCGCCCTATGAATGCTGACTCTGTTAATATGCCTATAATTATCTCTGTTTATATTTGACCTTTTTTTTAATTCCTCTGGTGCCTGAGAACTAGTTCTAAATATCTGCAATGATTGTGTAGAGAGGCAGGTCACCATCTGCTGCTTTTCCCACACCTTGCTCCGGGATGAGTCATCACAGCAAGCACCTGGCCCGACTCCCAAGCGTCTCCTCTCTGATCCACGTGCACATGCAGTGATGAGGTTTCCATCTCCTGTGGCATTTATTATGCCAGTTCAGGGCATCCCCTCAGGCGAGCTCCCAGGTGACAAGGACAAAATCATGTAAACTCACCTGACATGCCTTCAAGTGGGTTTAGAATCAGGCCTGCTTTCAACCAAGTAGCATGAGGAAGCTTCCAAATAGGAAGGATGAGAATCTGTCAGTTTTCCAATGGGAATATCCCATGCGAGGCAAAGCTAAAATGGGAGCAGGCTCCCTGGAGAACTGAGAAAAGTCATGCTGTCATATTTCAGGGCTGGTAATTGGAACTCCATTAGGACAAGCATACTTCCACCTCACTAAACCTGTGCATGCACGTGTGTGTGTGTGTGTGTGTGTGTGTGTGTGTGTGTGTAATATGGGCTAGAAAAAGAGGGAGATTAGAGGGGAAGAAAAAACAAGTGAGATAAAAGGTGAGCAAGGGAGAGAAGAGAGAAATCATGAAGGAACAACTGGAGAAAAGAAAGAGATAGTGAAACAAGAGCAACAATCCCAGGATCTGCTATTGTCCTTTTCGTATACCTTTGCTTTGCTCATGCACATGATATGGAAATTTCAGATCATCCTACACTTGGTGATCTGAGCTAAACAAAATGCTCTCACTGCACATCAGCTGATCAAGGAAAGCATTCTAGTCTTTATTCTGAAGTTGGCTCACTCTCCATCTTTAACCGGCCCTCTCTGTGCCTCCCTCTTTCTGGGTGTGAAATGGGGACACTGATCTTAGCCATTATATTGCCTCTCAGGAATCCTTAGAGCCTCCAAGGATAGTGTTCAAGTTCTTTAGAAAAGACATTATATTAAACGCCAAGATTTACCACATTATAAAGGAAAGAAAAGTGTGACTTTTGTATCTTAATAATAACTTATTGTGTAATAGAAAGCATAAGAAAGTATTTATTAGATTATGTTTATTAAGTTTACTCATGTAGTCACCAACACTGAGCGCCAGGGCGACAATGGCGTGGGCTGATCCTGTACCTGGGACCCACCGTGTTTGTAATAAGATATAGCCCACCATATGCCACCACACCCATGGCGTGAAGGGAGCATACCCAGACAAAGCCCCAGGTGATGCTCTCTGTCCCTGCCAGGGATAGCCATGACATGGTCACCCACATTGCTGTGTTCCAGATCTCTCCACTCCTCAAGGGCTGCGATTCAAGACAATCACAGAGACTACCGTGGAGGTGCAGTGGGAGCCCTTTTCATTCTCCTTTGATGGATGGGAGATCAGCTTCATTCCAAAGGTAATGCCCACCTGTCAGACTGCTAACCAGCCTTATTTGGAGTATCCATACCCTCAACTTCGAATCAAGAACAGCAAGGATGGTGCTACCCAATATCTCCCTCCGTGCCATTACAGATGCAAAGGGGCATTTTGTGGGTGTCTGCACTATAGAACATTTCTTTCACAAAGGTGTGGAGAGGACTGACTAACAAGAGTGATCTTGATCCTAGCGTGCTGGCCTTCGATGACAGGAGGATGCAGGAAGCAGCCACCAGCCCCAGCTCTCTGCTCAGAAATCTCTAGCGTTTAGCAAGCTGTGACTTTAGCAAGTCTTAAAACCAGACCTTCAAAAAGTTGGGGCTTCTCTTTAGGACATAAGAAAAGCCAAACTGAATCAGTGACATGGTTGGCCCACACCTCCATTCTGTGCAGACAGAGGCACCAAAAGGCAGCTTGCACGGCTTCAGTCTCTAAAGGTTAGAGGTGTAACACAAAAACACGTTTTACAGCCTATTAATTAAGAAAAATTTTTCTTAATCAAATTATGTTATTAGTCTGAGTTAAACAGTATCTTAAGATTTTTTTCTGTTCCTTCAAGTAGTATTTTATTCTATTGATCCTAAAACTAACTTTTCCAAGGTGCCTGACTAGCTCTAGTTTTCCAGGATCTGTTGACCCTACTGATGTCTCCCTAACCATAACACTCATGGGGGTATAACGTCTAATCATACTCCTTCCCTCTGTCTTCATCTTTCAATATCAAAGAGTATTTTCTCAGTCATTCATCAGACTTGATGACAGATAACACATTTTTGGCTAACAAGACTGTGACTTCACCATTCTTGTATTTCAAAAATCTTAGAGGTATGGACTGTTGGAGCTACAAAAGATCTTCAAACTCACAGAGTACGACTCTTCATTTTACATCTAGTTTGTTTAGTTTATAGAGACTAAGACTCAGCAAACTTAAATGGTGTTGGACAGCTAGTTGGTGGCAGGCTTAACACAAGAACTAGGGTCTCCACTTCCTATTCCAGCGCTCTGTCTACTAAACCAAGATGCCCCCCTCTCTTATGTGGATAGAGTCATGTCATGGCAAGCTAAGTACATCTAAGCAGACATTCTGGACAAATGTTTTCCTATGTGTCTTATCTGCATTAAAATGGACAGTAAAGTATGGTAGGCAACTGGATTTATAACAGGGCAGAGAGAATCATGTCACCCTGCTGCTCAGACAGAAAAAACTATGCCAGGTTTGCCTGTTTTACATCTGGTATGTAAAATCCTAAGTAAGAGGGGGCTGTCCAGGGCATGCCAAGGTCAAATACATGGAAGAACTGTGTGATTTGTAGGTTGAGGCACTGGGGGGCATTTGTCACATTGATTTATAAGAATATGGGTATAAATTATGTATAGAACACTCCGGGTGACATGAACAAAGACCCAAGAAAGGGGAGAAGGGCAGTGCCACAAAAAGAGCCCTCTTATCTCCTCTATTTCCAGGGACACACGTAGAAAATGTATAATAATAGGCAGACAGACAGAGAGATAATAAATCCTGGACCCAACATCATCAAGTTGATCTTTTTCATTTCCTCTTCCACCGATTTGTCTCTTTCCTCTCTCCTTTGTATTATTCTTTGCTCCATGCTTCCCTTTTTCTTTTTTGTACTTCCTAGTTGGTTGTGTCACTGATTCCTAACTCATCTGGGTGAAGAGGAAACAAGACATGGACAAATTTGCACCCAGTTTAACACCATGAGAAACTCCAGATATAGCAAATAAAAGCTATTAAAAACTGGGAATGTCTTAGTTTGAAATATGTTGTGTGTGTGCATAAAGATGTTTACACACATTCACACACAACTAGTCTTCTAAATAGCCAAGGGCATGCTCATCATGATAAATGCCAAAAAATCTGATAGATGTTAACCGTAACCATTGAATATTTAATCTTTGGCAAGAGCCGATCTACATCACCTCATGACTAATATTTATTGGCAAACTCTATAGACTCAGGAGAGGCCAAAGATACGTTCTTGAAAATTGGTGTTCCATTTGCCAAATCCTCATAGATTAGTGGCATTCTTATTAAGCCTTCTGAGAGTTGTTCCCAGCCCCAGACACTGAGCTGAGCATGGAGGGAATAGACATAGTCCCCATTTTTAATTCATGATTCACAATCAGTGCTCCACACCTTTATGTTTCTCTCATCAGATTTCTCTCCCAGTGATTTTCTCTTTTGCTTTCTCCACTTCTCCCTTCCTCCTACTCTCCAGAACAATGAAGGAGGGGTGATTGCTCAGCTCCCCAGTGATGTTACATCCTTCAATCAGACAGGACTAAAGCCTGGGGAGGAATATATTGTCAATGTGGTGGCTCTGAAAGAGCAAGCCCGGAGCCCTCCTACCTCGGCCAGCATCTCTACTGGTGAGTGCCTCCCATCCTTCTCCCGATGGCTACCCATTAGGTCACTCAAGAAAAAAAACTGCAGACTCGCCCAAGAAGTAGAGAGACAAAGAGGTGCTAGGATTTCTCCCAGAGCTGAGAATGATTTTGGTACCTGGAGACGTGGCTACTCTACCGGATGCTTAGCTGAACTTCTGCGTTATTGCTAATCGTTGCAAGCACAGAAATTTGGGAGAGTATTCTATGGGGAAAACTCTTTGTTAAGATTTCCAATGTATTTCTTCTGATCTTATTCATTAAGAGGCCTGATTGTCAGCTCCTAGTATCTCGAGCTTTGAAAGCATCAAGAGCTGACTCAGTCTTATCTATTATGAGATTTGGAGGAAGTCATCCAACCCTTCCCAAACCTCAATTCATTTTAGTACAGAGATGTTCGTTGAGTTGACATGAGGGTTAAATTAGATAAAGCACACAAAGTGACTAGCGCTATGTTGGTGAGAGTGAGGGCTCTATACCTGGTACATACACATATACTTAGAGAACACACTGAGAAGTCAGAGCTATAGGAAACAAATCATTCAAAACCGGTAAGTGTGGGTTCGGCCACTGTTCAAGAAAACGACTTAAGTTGATTACTGTTTCACCCCTACTGTTAATCTCATGCAAGATCATTATATTTTTAGGTTTGATTCATTAACTGTGTTGTGTTTTGCCTTATTGTTTCCTTAGCTAACAAAGGATGTTCAACCTCAAAGCTATAAATTAGCAATTATGATACATATGTGTGTGCCCTCACCAAAAATTTCTGAAAAGTTATAAAGAGCATCTGGCATCATTTTTGGTTCTCATTTTATCAATGGGAGAGCTGAGACTCAAAGGTTAAGCAACGTCCCCTGTTAGTAGCAGAAACTGAGATAGGTGAATATTGGTACAGCTTTATTTTTCATAAACAGAAATCGACACCTAAGAAAGCCAGTCATGGGTCCAGGACAAAGGCCGAGTTGGAAAAGGGAACCACAACACCAAGTAATGAGCCCATGTTTATGGATTAGTGATTCATAGTTTTGCTAATTGGATCCAAACTAACCAGCATCAGATGTGGAGGGGTATGCTCAGTCTAGAAAACATTGGTTTAAAACGATTGTGGCATTAGATCATGTTCCATCAGAGCACTAGGGTTCCATGGCAGCACCTCACGGCAAGGACGAAGTGGAGATCCAGGCCTCTAATTACTCCCACTCCATGACCATCACACCCTCCTACCACGGCAGCTCCATTTTTATCTTTTATATTTTGTACAGTCATTTAAGATTTTGTTCTTTAAAAAAAAGAGTATTTCGCCTGAAAAAGGCTTTAAAAACACTGTTCTAATACAAATACGTTTTAGAAGAAACTCCATGGCCATATAGCCAAAAGTGCTCTGTAGGAATCTCTCCAGATGCCAGTGGCCAGAGTTTTTCCACAGCTCTGTTCCCTAAGGTTCTCCTGGAACCTGAGGAGTTGACATGTGGCAACATGTGTAGATTCTCCTTGTCTGATGTGGAATGTTTCAGGGTCTCCAGTTATTCCTGTGATTTTATAATAAGAAAGTGTTAGTAGGGCCGGCCCCGTGGCTTAGCGGTTAAGTGCGCGCACTCCGCTACTGGTGGCCCGGGTTCAGATCCCGGGCACGCCCCGACGCACCGCTTCTCTGGCCATGCTGAGGCCTCGTCCCACATACAGCAACTAGAAGGATGTGCAACTTTGACATACAACTATCTACTGGGGCATTGGGGAATAAAAAATGAGGAGAACTGGCAATAGATGTTAGCTCAGAGCCGGTCTTCCTCAGCAAAGAGAGGATGATTAGCATGGATGTTAGCTCAGGGCTGATCTTCCTCACAAAAAAATAAATAAATAAAAAATAAAATAAAATAAAAAGAAAAGAAAGTATTAGTAGAAAACAAAAGGCTAGAAGGAGGAGATGGTTCATAAGAGGGCAGAGAAGAACATGACAGCTGTAGAAGGTTTTTCTTCCAAAGTATTGAGAACACAGAGAAGATCATCCAACCCTGCCTTGGTCTTTTACTCAAACCACATTTTTACAAAATTTGCAGTATTTTTTGGTCTGGAAATAACTTAAGATTAAAATTAAAAGTTCCAGATCTAGAAATTTGTGGTAAAGCTAAGCAGAATTTTTTTCAATTAAGAAAAATATCCTAGTTGATATTTTGGCATTGAGTACAGAGTCACGAAGAAATGGAAAGCAAAACATTTATTCCAGTTTACTTTTTGAGTAGGACTTGTGTTTGTTTAGAAATTAGGGCTTCAGATGAAAGCAAGCTGATACCTCCTTGAGTGGAGTGGGACATCACTACCAAGTGGCCAACCAAAAGGCAGAATCCAAGGGTGGCCACAGAAAAGATGGTTGGCTCCCAACCCTGTCTGCTGTTTTTAGAAAATGATTATTTAATTATTTCCTTCTGCTAAGGTCTGACCTCCACCAGCCCCCCACTGCGAAGCTCTGAGTCCTCACCAGGCGGCCCTCAGAGTGGCTTCTTCCAGGCAGGCCATTTGGGGAATGCAAATCACAAGACCTCTTGCAGCTAGAGCCCTCTGTGCTACACAATCACATTCTAATACGGTCAATCCATTACAATTAGGGGTGTTTTTGGATTTAAAGCTTTGAAGGACTAAAGCCTTATGTGGTCATTTAAGTTTCTGTGACACCTTTTATTTTTTTCAAAAAGCTCCAGTTCGTTGAAATGCTTCCTCTTCTTTCTTATGGATACGGAAGATCATTCATTCATTTCATTTACTCAACACCCGTTGACTGAGTGTCTGCTGTGTTTCAGGCATATTCTGCTTATACAACAGCTAGGAGACCATTTCCCCCATTTCATTATTAAATTAAATCAAATGAAAAAGGCCTAAGTTATCTGAAACCACTAAATGCAGCATGTTGAAAAGAAAACATCTGGATGTGTTCTGTTAAATCACATTATTACCCCAAATATGAAAAACAAAACTTCATTTTAACTCCAAACCAGGTGGCATCAAAATGGTCTGGTGATTTTCATTTTGGTTGGTGCCAGACCAAAAATCCTAAGCTGCTTAATACAGAACAGACCTGGGCTAGACCAAGAAAGAGGGAGGGGTACCCAGAGAAAAGCCCAAGTCTAAAAGACTGAGAGGCTCAAGGTCAGCCTCAGACAATCTTCAGGGAGACACTCCATTCCTGACATAGAGTAGGAGGTGGTCCAGTGTGGATTAGTTAAAAAAACTAGTCTGAGTCAAGACTCTCCAATAACAAGGAAGAAAAACTTTCTTAAACTAGCTGAAGCAAGAAAAGAGAATTTACTGGAAGGACATAGATTGTCTCATGGAACCCCAGGGCCAGAAATGCATCTGGGTCTCACGAAAGACTTGAACCAGAAAATGGAAAGTCAGGAATCAAGTTACTCTATCTGTCTAGAAGCTCCACACAGGCATTCATTTCTGCTTCTCTCTGTATATTTTCTCCTAAAATTCTGTACCCAATTCCAGTGTACGTGGTGCGGGGGGCGGGGGGGGTGGGGCGGGGGGTGGCGAGAGAGAGGGAATTCCTCACACCAAGCAATTCTCTGTGACATCAGCTAGGTGTCCTACAATTCAACTCAATTCTGACACCCCCTACCTGGAGATAGCATCAGATTCCACAGGTTGAGGCTCAGTCCTACAAGACTGCCCTTCACTTCAGATGCCAATCGCAAGTCCAGGTTGTTACCTGTTCTTCTGACTGGCCCTCTACAGATTGGAGGTTCCCATGACGCCCTCCTTGGGTTCGATTAATTTGCTAGAGCAGCTCACAGAACTCAGGAAACCCGTTTGCTCACCAGATTACCGGTTTGTTACAAAGGATATTAAAGGAGACGAATCAACAGCCGGGTGAAGAAATACATAGGGTGAGGTCCCTAACACAGGAGCTTCTGAACCTGTGGAGTTTGGGCCCAGCACAGTGGCACGTGAAAGCATTCTGCTTCTCCAACCTGGATGCTCTCCGAACCCAGTTCTTTCGGATTTTTATGGAGGCTTCATCACGTAGGCGTGATTGATTGATTGACCAGAGATAGAGGGTGGAACTAAAAGTTACTAATGACATAGTTGTGTCCTCCGGCAACCAGCCCCCATGCTCGCCTCATTAACGTAACACAAGACAACTTTATCACTCTCATCACTTAGGAAATTCCATGGGTTTTAGGAGCTCTGTGCCAGGAAGGGGAGGAAGATCAAATATGTATTTATTATAAATCACCCTCCCTCTCCCCCTTCTCTCTCTCTCTTTCTCTCTCCAGATCAGATGTTTTCTATTTATGTGTGTATATGGTAGAGCATGGCCACACTAGCCCTAGCTCTACATGGTCCCAAACTAGCCAACCAAAGAACCAGGGTCTCTAGTTCCAATTCAAAAGCCCTGAAGAATGCTAATATTAATCAGCTCCAGCCAGAGGGACGTGGTGACATAATAAATGCAAACATAGAAGCTGGGCCTGCTCTTTTAGAAGAGAATGAGTCATTCAAAGAAGGGCGTGTGGGCCGTGCAGACATACCATGAGGAGTTGAGAACACCATTTTCTATTCTCCTCAATAAGCCCTTTCTTCTGTTTCCCTTCTACATTCTCTCACCTTTCCCCACCCCCACCATCATCTCATTCAATATGAGCAGGACCCCAGGTGGGTGCTGGATGGTGGGCCCCCTGGGAAAGAAACCAGCTTTTCCAGGGTAATGCCATCCCACAATGGTGTTCCCCTCAGCTGCTCAGCACCAGAGGCTGGGACTCATGGGGGACATATGCTGAATAACCTTGAGGGACTATCTGTGACTGCAGTGCCCTTCTGGTTCAGGAATATGTAAGAACAGGTGGGAAAAAATAGCTCACAAGAGGTTATTCCAAAACTGAGGTCATTTTTTTTTTCAAAAAAATAAATGTCCCCAGAAGGCGTGTTTCACGTCCACAGATGCAAACGTCTGTTGGGTTTCAGTGCTGTCTTAGCAGCCGGATTGACTGAGCTGTTAGTAGGGCTGAGCAAGGACATCTTTTGGACGCTCATGAGGTCCTCTTTAGCAACCAAATTGGAGGTCTCAGATGTTTATTTAGAGCTGATAATTTCCTAGATCTTTCCTCAGGGCTCAAAGAAGGTGAGAACTGGGCAGCAGGGCACACATCAGAAGCACAGTTCTGTCCCCTTTCCTCCAGACAGAAGAGTGCTGGCCTTCTCAATCCAGTAAGCGCCCCTCCCCTGCCTAAACTTGGAAGTGTGAGCAATGGAAAACCACGGCCTGGTGAGAGAAAGATTCAGGGGAACTGAGTTCCAGTGTCGGTTCCCCATTGCCAAACTATGTGTCCTTAGGAAAGAGATTTCATCTTCCTGTGCCTCATTTTCCCCCACTGTAAAATGGGATAATAATTCCCATCCTCTCTCTAACCAAGCAGGCTAATATCAGGAGGAAAGGAGAGAGCTGATGTTAAATGCTCATTTCTCAAACTTTTTTTCTATTTGATCCTTCTCACTCAGTCATTGATGGCCCCACGCAGATCCTGGTTCGTGATGTCTCCGACACCGTGGCCTTCGTGGAGTGGACCCCCCCTCGAGCCAAAGTCGACTTTATTCTCTTGAAGTATGGCTTGGTGGGTGGGGAAGGCGGGAAGACCACCTTCCGGCTGCAGCCTCCCCTGAGCCAATACTCAGTGCAGGCCCTGCGGCCCGGCTCCCGGTACGAGGTGTGGGTCAGCGCAGTCCGCGGGACCAACGAGAGCAAGTCCACGACCACCCAGTTCACAACAGGTAAGGCTGTTTGGAGGAGAGGAGCACGAGGAGGGGGAGAGGGGGCGAGCCAGCCAGTGGTATCATCATGCAAGAGGGCTATTAAGGAAATGAATTGACTTGTGCTTGGTCATCCATGTTATCAGCGACAATGCAAGAAAGAAGCGAGAGGTGTCAGGGCCTCCTGGGGAAGTCACATCGCAGTATAGAGGAGGGCAGTGTGCCAGTAGTTAGGAGAACTAGGTCCCTGTCCTACCTCTGCTACCAGCCAAGTCTGTGACTTGATATAAGTCTCCTCCCCATGGGTCTCAGGTTTCTTATTTGTAAAATGAAAAGCTTGTCTTGAAGTCATTTAAGCATCCTTTTTACTAGCCCAAATGGCAATTCTGTGCGAGTTTAGGCAACGTGCCCCTTCCTTGAGACACTTTATTGCTATTTGCTGGAAATTGTAATAATTCTCCAAATCCATAATGACCACACTAGCATGATGGCGTCCTTTGGGGTTGTGCAAAGCCCAACTTGTACAACCGAAAGTAGACCTTCCGCCTGAGATTCTGTGACTCATTCTGCCTTTTGTAAGCCCCAGCAAGAAGGCTAATGGAGGCCTGGCTCCCAGACAGCAGGCTGGACAATGCCCGTATCAATGCCGCCTGCCTTGCTATGAGGACCACTCACCCCCCTTCCTGAGGCTGTCAGGACTCTCAAAGAGCTTCACCAACAGTCGGGAAAGGCCAGACCTCACAGTGACCTGCTCCCTGACTCTCTCGGAGCCCAGCAGGCTGGCCAGCTAGTGGGCAAATAGGATAGGCCCCAAACAAAGACAGGCTTCCCGGCACTCTCCCTGGGTCAATGGGCCTGTGATCAGACAGGGAACCTCTATCTAACCCAGATTCTCAGTCTCGGCCCCTCTGCCCTGGGGAGGTCACATGTCAAGGAATGTCTCTGCCACCTCCAAGTGGTCCCAGGGATCAAAGGAAACTACTAGCATCTAAGCACCAGCATCTTCTGATGCAGTAAAGTAGAAGGAGAATCACTAATTCAAGCATCCTACCTTGGGTTGTGGCCTAAGAGCCTGTCACAGGATGGAGTAAGCAGCAGAGGGGCTTCAGGGAGTTTCGATAAACAGCACCATTGTCCTCCACCCGTGCTTAAAATCAATTGATAACTAAGGCCAAGAGCAAGACAGACGGAGGCCAAAGTATCCCCTAGATTGGGGCATGCAGCTTAGTGTTCGAGCCAGAAGGGTTTGCAAACTGATGGCCTCTGTGGACCTGGGCAAGTGCCCCCGAGTGGCGGAAGGTGGGGGACTACCGAGGTTAGGACTTACAGCCGGAGCAATATGTGGAGGTCTGATCCCACGGGTCAGCAGCTCCCATGAGAGAAGGGAGCGGAAAGGCGGTGCCCAGGTCCTGCTGCAAAACTCACCACTGAGGTAAGTCCATCTTCCCCAGCGTAAGAAAGAGGGAGGCCAGGAATCTTTAATGGGGTCCCTCTGCACAGAAGGAAACATCAGTAGGGGGGGAACCTTTCTTGTTAGAAGGGAACAAGTACGGACATTGATGAAATGGAGAAGGCAGGGTTTGATTCTGAAAGAGACCTTCTTAGGTTTCTCTCCAGCCTCCAGGCTAGACTCTACCCCACCCAGGGGGTCTCTGGTCAGATTTTTTACTGAACACAGCTTGGGATCTCTGGTGACTGAATATGCACCTTTAAAAAGGAACCAAATTCTGCCCATTTCTCTTATCTTCTTCTCCCTCACTTACCCCAAACTGCTCAGGGCTGAGCATGAGAAGGGACCTCACACATGTCCCTTCTTGGTGAATTCAAGGTCAGCCTTTCCTCCCCTCCGCTCACACCCCCACAACACCGCCTGCTCAGATGGCAGGATCTCCTGTGAGTCCTGCATTCTATTCTGAATTTCAAGACAGTTTTTGTTTGAAAAGTGGTTTCTTTGTGCTTTGCTCAGATAAGGAGTTTGAAGAGGCAGAAAAGGAGAAGAGAGCTCTCAAGCAGCATGATGAAAAGCAAATTCTTGATGTTTAGGTCGACAAGATGGAAGCAGGATTGGCTGGTGGCCCAGGAAAATTCCAATCAAGACAATTACATCTGCCTCCTCGCAGCTCCCCCTGAGTTCCAGTTCACTGCTGCTGGTTCTCTGTTTCCGCAGATTGGCAGCTGTTAGGAGGCTGCCATCTCAATGCAGCCCCAGCCTGCACCTCCAGCCTGCTCCCCGCCACTCGAGGGGGCTGGGGGGACGTGGGGGTTGGGGAGATGCGAACAGCTTTGCAGACAAGCTCCCAGGCCCTAGGATTGGCAGGTGCCAGCTGAATGTTGAGAGGGTGCTCGGACCCTCGCGGTAGGGCCCTCAGTCATTTCATAACTCCGCTTAAATTCAAATTAGCCAAAGTGCTTTTCCAGGTGATGGCTTCGACACTAGGAGCGCAATAATTGCACAGGCAATTAAAACAGATTTGCTTCCTGCATGGTGAGTGGGATATTTGCCTGGGTCTTAGAGCTGCTCGGAAAAAGGAAAGAGCCTTAATGGAAACATACAAGGCCAATGGTTAAAGAGAAGCCTGCCCAAGGAAACCGGGAAGCCAATCTCTAGAACCTCCTTGCCCTCGGTCCCTCTATTTCAGTACCCTCACAGGGAATTCCTGGGACTGTTTCTCTCTAGGGGAGGCCTTCTCTCTGAGCACTTCCCTCAAGGCACTGAACGCTGCCTCCAGGGCATTCGGCCAACAAGAAGCCGCTGCTTGAACCTGACTGCCCTAGACCTCTCCTGAATGCTGTTATGAGTTGAGTTGTGACCCTTAAAAGATGTTGAAGTCTTAACCCCCAGTACCTGTGTATGTTACCTTATTTGGACATAGGATCTTTGCAGACGATCAAATTAAGATGAAAGTCATTAGGGTGGGCCCTAAACCAATATGACTGTGTCCTTATAAAAAGGGGAAATTTGGACACAGAGACAGACACACGCACACAGAGAATGCCATGTGAAGATGATAGCAGAGATTGGGGTGATCCTTCTAAGCTAAGGAACACAAAAGATTGCCAGCAAACCACCAGAGAGAGGCATAGAACAGATTCTCCCTCACAGCCCTCAGAAGGAAGCCACCCTGCCAACACATTGATCTCAGACTTCTAGTCCAGGAGACAACATATTTCTGTTGTTTAAGCCACCCAATCTATGGAACTTTGTTATGGCAGCCCCAGGAAACCAATGCAAAGACCCGAGTCACAACAGTTGGAGCCCCGACGTGCTCGGCAGTGATTCCACTCTGGGGTTCTCTCAGGTTCAACCTGAATGGCACTTGCCTCCCTCCCTCCATCAAAGCTGTTCTTTTCCCTGCACCACCTCACCCCAAGCATCCTCAGAGCCCCATGGCTGAAATATTTAACAAGACTTTTCTAAGGGTTTTGAGGTGACAGACAAGACAGAGAACTGACATTCATTCAGTCACTTCACATGTACTTACTGAACACCCAGTAGGTGACAAGTGCTGTTCTAGGCACTGAGGCTACAGAAAAAACAAGATAGACGAGATCCCAGTTCATGTGAGTTCTATTCCAGTGAGGAAAACTGGACAATGAAGAAGAAAAGAAACATACAGGATCATGTCAATCACGAGTATTATCCTGAGAAGTGAAATGGATGACATAGAGGAAGGGCTACATTGGATTGAGTCATTTAGAAAGGTCTCTCTGAAGAGGTGAAGTTTTAACGAAGACCTAAGTGACCCAAGCCATGTGAGGATCCAGGAAAGAGCAGTCCAGGCAAAAGTAGCAGCCAGTGCAAAGGCCCTGAGGTGGGAGTAAGCTCACTCAATGTGTTTCAGGAGTAGAAAAAAAGGCAGTACAGCTGGAGCACAGTAAATCAGGGGAGAAGTTTCCAAGGCGATGTCTGAGAAGCCGGCAGGGCCAGATCACGCAGAGCCCTGCAGGCCATGATTAGAAGTTTGTAATAGGGAGCAACAGGCAAGTTTTAAGCAGAATTGCTTAATCTAATCTATGTTTTAGAGACTAGATATGGCTATCACCAGAGTCCACAGCCCCAAGCTCCTCGCCAGGGTGCCCATTAGACATCTGTCTTTGCCTTGCCCTGGCTTGCTGACATGTTGCAGAGACATGCTCCCACCTACAGGAGAGCCCTTCAGTGGCCCCTCCTAGAGGTCAGCCTTCAAGACCCAGGGGAACAAACCATTTCACTCCACCCCAGTCCTAAGACCCACCTCCCAAACCCTCATTCCCAGGATTGACCTCTTTTTGGCATCACTGATATTGGAAATACCTGGTCCCTTCAGAGAAAACACTGCCCCTACCCACAGCATGTCAAGAAAGCACAGTATCTGGCATGCTAAAGCCACTTTGAGTAAGGAAACATTTCTCATAAAAATAAGCTGCAGACACATAAATCTGCTAAAAAATTCACCCAATTTACATCACTAAACAGAACTCTTCTCACTCTGCAGCAGCTGCACCCAGATGGATTCACAGCATCCCCACCTTCTGAAAAGAACATTTGGTGGATACTTGCCTGGCATTAGCAAATTAAAACAGTCCTCAAGAGGTTTTCTCAAGAATGAACGGCTGGTCCACTCCAAACTTAATTTCAAGTGTCAAAGACAAGATCTATTTAGAACTTCTCAGTGGCAGTTTTTCAAGACAGCACCTTATTACCGTGCAAGTTGCTTATGTTATTTCTGCCCAAATAAGCCTGAGGAGATGACCAGTTCCGGGAGAGAGAATTAGCCCCCCAGGATTGTGAGGGAGACCCCAGTGTGGTGGTCTTTTCATTGCATGGGAATTCTTGGAACTCCAGAGAGCAAGCATTGTGGGTAGCATGTCCTTGGAACTCAGGAAGAGCTTCAGAGACAATGCACTTCATATGTGTTGTCTAACCTGTGCAACAACCTGGAACGTCAGTTTTATTTGCCCATTTTACAGATGTTTCCATTGAGGCCCAGCGCAGTGAAAAAACTTGCCCATGGTGCCATTACAATAAGTGGCAGAGCTGAGGATCAAACCGAGGCCTGACTTCAAAGCCCCTATTCTTTCCACTACATCACATCCTCTATATATACTTAATTTTATAACCTGCAAACCTTTCAGCAGGGTCCCCACAGATAAATCCAGGGAAGGCAGCTTATACTTCAAAATTGTGCAGTCAGCTGTCTTCTTTCTGCTTGGTGGTCAGTTTGATATTACTCTATTCCATCTTAATCCCTTGAACGCCGTCTCTGATTTTCTCCTACTAGGGTTTCCCTTGCTTAGTTTCAAGCTCATGTTACTAATTGGCTCATTTTAAAATTTCTAGAACACCATTGGAACTTCTGAATGGAAATGGAGAAAGTGTGAAGTGTGTTGGTATTTAACTCCCAAGTCAAAAGCTCCAACCTTGCCATGGAATTGGTAGTGGCCAACCTGGCAGACTAGAAGCTCAGTGGCAGCCCCGGGGTTCACTCAGATGTGAGGCGGAGGGTCAGGAGATGTGGGATCTTGGCGCAAAGCTTGTTAAAGTTCAAGGTGCGCGTTATCCCGTGTGATGTTGGTGATGTCTGACTCTTTTTAGAGATCGACGCCCCCAAGAACCTGCGGGTTGGTTCCCGAACGGCAACCAGCCTTGACCTTGAGTGGGACAACAGCGAAGCAGAGGTTCAGGAGTACAAGGTCGTGTACAGCACCCTGGCAGGCGAGCAGTACCACGAGCTGCTGGTTCCCAAGAGCATAGGTCCAACCTCCAGAGCCACCCTCACAGGTGAGTGAGCCCTGGCTCCAGGGGACCTCGGTTCCTGAGGCCACACCCTCACAGCTCTCTCCCCAGCCCACCCACTCCACACCCAACCATCGCCGAGTCCCGCTGATTTAATCTCTCAAGTACCTACCACGTTTGTCTACTGCTCTCATTGTACTGCCAACACCTGGTCTAAGCTACTATTATGTCTTGTCTTCACCTATGGGTAACCTCCCCACGTTCTCTCCTGCCCCCCTCTCACCTCCTCTTCGCACCAAGAGTGATCTTTTCAAAGTATATTTCTATTTATGCTGTTCCATTGTGCATACATTTCAGGGTCTTCCATTGCTCCTGGGAGAAACCGTAACCCTTAGCACGGCCCACGCTGTGGTGCCTGGCTTCCCTGTCGTCTTCTCCCGTCTCCCCTCCCTCCTATGTCCTCTGTGCTCCCTGTGCTCCAGACCCACAGTCGGCTTCTCTCAGCTCCTCAGACACCTTTTCCCTCCTGCCACAGGGCTTGGCACGTGCTGCTCTCGCTGCCTGTCAGGCTCTCCCACCTCCCTCTTCACCCAGTAGTGTCTGCTCCCCTTTCAGCTCTCAGTTCACTTGTCACTTCTCAGGGAGCCTGTCTGGTTCCCAGACGAGGTCAGTCATCCTGTCCAGCAGCCTCGCCTCGCTGGTTACCACCGCTTCACAGCACTCCTCAAGCTACCGAAGGACACTTATGGGTGGGATTATTCGATTGTCATCCCCACCGAGACCTAAAGCTCTGTGAAAGGGGGACCAAATTGGTTATTTCTCATCACTGATACCCCAGTGTCCAGCACAGCGTCTAGCACATACACGGTCCTAGATAATCAATGGATGAATGAATGAATGAACGAAAGAAACTACAAACGTCACTATGACTGGGGCATAGACTACAAAAGGCCAGTGATAAGATGAGAGCCTGGTTGTGCCTCATACACCCTATAAAGAGCTTGAGTTTATTCTTGAGGGCAAGGGGGAATCATTGAGTGATTTTACATCAAGTGACATAATAACTAGATTTGTGCAGCTACAGTGTGGAAAATGGATGGGAGGAGGGTGAGGCCAGAGGCAGAGATTGGTCAAGAGGCTGTGCTAGAGTCAAAGGGAGAGATAATGGTGGTCTGGACTAAGACTATGCCCTAGGTCACCATGACGCTTGGCTGGGGAGCAGTCCCTCTCCCCATGGGGATGTGGGACCCAGCCAGTGCTCCTCCTGGGGACTTAGACACACCCATCCAGGAAAATCTACCTGCTGGACCTCACTGGGAGGTAGATGACTAGAAATGTGGGGCATTGTTTTCAAATGAAGGAGATTGTGCAAAACAGCCACAGACCAGGGGCTGCCAGTGTGCTCGCAGACAGAGACTTTGTTTAACTTGTGTCTTGGCTTCCTGCAAAAGCATTTGCAGTCTTAGTAGACAAGGGATATGCAGCAAAGAGTGCCTACAGTAAACAAGGGCAGTGTAATCAAAGCTGTTTTCCTCCTGAACCGAAATCCCAGACCGCCTTGCCAAATGAGACCAGTTAAAGTAAATATAATAAATGCTTTTTCCAGACAGACGCACTCCTGAAAACACAGCAAGGAGATGGAAAGATATGCTGACCAAGCAGGTTAATGGGGGTGAATTAAACACAGCAGGAACAGACCAGCTGGCGTAAGTGCCTTTACAGCGAGCTGGAGACATTCACAAAAATTAAGCTAAACAAAAAAACTGAAATGATACAGGAGGGAACTCATTCTAAGCGCAGCCCATCCCTGCCTAGAGCCGCAGGCTGATCTGGCAATTAGCAATTTTACACAGATGATGGCTGGTTGTTCGGATAGAGGATACACCACAAAATGATGAGAGATAGAAGAAGCCAGTAACATCCTAGCTATTATTTCCCACTACCCAGAAAGAAGAAGATTCATTGATCATCTTCCTTATTCCAGACACCTTCACATAGTTACAGCTTATTTAACCTTCACAACAACTTCGTCGTCAGGGCTGTTAGCATCCCCATTGTATGGATGAGGAAATCGAGGCTCAGAGAGTTTGGAAACTTGCCCAAGTTCACAAAGCTAGCAAGGGGCACGGCTGGGACTCAAAGGCAGTTCTGAGTCCTAGTAAAAAGCCTCTCATCCACGGCTGCTCCTACTAGAGAAGTCAAATGTAAGGGACAGTCAAAACTTCAATGCTGCAGACTTACAAGGAATGGAATATTATTATTGAGGACTGGGCTCACATAGGTCAATTTTTTGGTTAGAGTTGGGCTTATGAAATAAATATATATTACACGTAATTATCCCAGGGAGCTCACTGCTGGGGAGATTTATAAAGGCAAATAGCTTTATGTGATTTAAGAAGGGATTATAGGCAGGTAAGGAAATCAAGTATGTCTGTACTTGCTGAGATGCACATTACAAGGATCATTGGCTCTCTTGCTGGGGGGTCTGGGGGAAGAGAAGGAAGGGCCGTGAAGGAGGGAAGGCAGAATGAGGGATGGAGAACTTTGATCCCAGCTCTAAAGAGTCATGTTTTCTCCCTTATTCCCCAACTTGGACACTAAAGAAGAGAGATTTTCAGCCTCCAAGACGTATTTTGTTTTCTGGTTTCAAACAAGTTGTTTATTTGCATGTATGAAACAAGACCTTGGCCACAGATGGGAAGGGCATTCCAGGCTCACCTTCAGCAGTTTTGCCCTGGCCAGAAAGAGCATTAGGACTAGAAACTTCAACTCTCCCCATCCCCACCCTCCCTATCTCCTAGTCAAAAATAATTGGGGAACTCAGAGATACAGAGAACAGATTGGTGGTTACCAGAGGTGCTGGTGGGGGTGGGCGAAATGGGTGAACGGAGTCAAGAGGTACAAACTTACAGTCACAAAATAAATAAGTCCTGGGGACGTAATGTACAGCATGGGGACCATAGTTAATAATACTGTATTGTATGTCTGAAAGCTGCTCAGAGAGTAGGTCTTAAAATTCTCATCACAAGAAAAAAAATTTGTAACTGTGTGGTGATAGATGTTAACTGAAGTTATTATGGTGATCATTTCACAATGTGTAGAAATAACAAATCATTATGTTGTACACCTGAAACTAATATAATATTATATGTCAATTATATCTCAATTAAAAAAAGAAAAAAAATAATCGACACTCCTAGAAGAAGGTCCCATTCTCTCTTGCCCCAGTTATATTTTAATGCTTAACTCTGTGGAACATGTTAAGAGCCAGGACTTTAGACGCTGTATCCAGGCACCGCCACTTCCTGTGCCATTTGGGGCAACTGACTTAACCTTTCTAAGGCCCTGTTTCATCATCTGTAAAGGGAGAATGAGACCACTTACCTCACAGTGTCATGATGAGGCTTTAATGAGATCGTATCTTTAATGAGTTTAAGGCAGTGCTTCTAACATAGCAAACTACTCCACATGTGGCTGGTGATGGGGATGAAGAAGGAGGAGGAGGTCTGTGAGCTAATGGTGGGTTTAGGACGACTTCCTGTAACAGGTGTGGCACAGAGTAGGGAACCTTGCTTCTCAAAGTGGGGTGTGGGGACCAGCAGCAAGGGCATCCCCCCACCCAGAGATGTTGGAGTCCTCTCCCCCAGATCTACTGTTTTAGAGCCTGCATTTTGGAAGACCCAGGGGATCTGTGCACACTAATGGGTGAGAAGTGCTCATTTAGAGCATGGCTTCTGAAGTCGCCCACTTGGGTTTGAGACCAACTTCATAGATGTGTATCCTTGGGCAAATTTCTTAAATTTCCTGTGCTTCTTCCTGGTCTGAAGGACATCATGTCTACCTCACAGGGTTGTAGTGAGGAGTAAATGAAGTCACATCTATCTATATATATAAGCACTTTGGATGGAGACTGGTACATACTAAACATTCAATAGCCATTTGACCTCTCATTGTTTTTAATCCCAGCAAAGCTCAGACCTGGATCCGTGGCAACCTGGCTTCTCCTTGGAACAAGCTCACAGCTGACTCTAAACCCCTTAAGTCCTGTGGCATCTGTATTTGCTATTCCCTGCAGAAGCCCTTGTCTCCACAGGCACCGTTCACCCTTGGCTGTGGAACGCAGGCCCTCTCTGACTCTTGGGGCTCTGAGTCATTCAGAGGGCTCCCAGCAAGCACCCCCCTCCCAACCTCCCTGTTCACATACCTCACCCTTTGCAACACGGAGGCCAGGCTGGGGCACAAAATACCAAACATTTCTTTTCCGTTATTCTCTCTAGGCAATGCCCAGTGAATTCCCTCTGGAGTATGAATTTGTTTCTGAACAACAGACTCAGTGTCTACAATGATTTTTTTTCCTGCTCTGGTGGCTTCTGTGTCCTTCATGATAAGTCTTTTTTTAGGCTCAGCCTCTTAGCCCAGATGATGTCTGCTTGGTTTGTGTACCATACCTGGAGTCCCCAAGTGTTGTATACCTTATAGGCTCATCAAGGTTAGGTTAGAAGTTGGCAGCGCTTACCAGGGACGGGCACCACCACTCTGTTTTCTGGGTGGCAACGAAAAACAATAAACCATATAGAAATCTCCTAGAGGAGAGAGGGAGGGAGGAGGGGAGGGAAGGAGGGAGAGAGACAGGGGAAGAAGGAAATTCTCATTCCTTGACTGGAATTTGGTCAAAAAACCCTGCCTGGGACCAATGCAAATTGTGAACACTGCTCTGGCCTCTGTGTCTGAGGTGACTCCTCTAACCCGTCATCAGAAAGGCCCGTGGCTGCAGTATCTGGCCCAGAGGGGAGAGGGGCTTGTCCTCAGCCATCTACACCCTCTTGCTGGTCCTCCCTCGTGAACAGGAGCCCACACTTGAGGACCTCTGTGGCCAAGGAGGAAGGCAAAAGAAGCTGGCCCGTATGGCATGAGGGCGCTCACCCAGCCCTCTAGGGCCGTTCGTCACCTCGCTCGCCCACTGCATGGCCCTGCCTGTGTGCCTCCTCACAGCACCTCCCAACCAGCTGCCTCTCTCTGCACTGTGACTGCTTCGACCTCCAGTC